TTGTTGTTATTGTTGATGTTGTTATTATTATTATTATTGTTGTTATTATTATTGTTATTATTATTATTATGGTTCCTGTTTTATATTTTAAAGAAGACACATAGAATGTTTTTTATTGTTATTGCAGCATATTAACTCAGAACTACCAACATATTCTGGCTTTGCAATTTGCAGTCGAAACAGTTAATGAAAATCCAAGCATCTTGCCTAATGCCACTTTGGGGTTCCATGTGTTGAACAGCAATTTCCGTGCCAGGTGGACTTATTGTGCCTCAGTCGAACTGCTCTCTACCCGGGCCAGGTTTATCCCAAATTATAAATGTGATATCCAGACCAATATAGTCACTGTTATTGGTGGTCCTAACACTAATGTTTGCCATTTTATGGCAAGCATTTTATGCATCTACAAAATTCCACAGGTGAGTTGCCCTCATTCAAATAACAACTGAAAAAAAAGTGGAGGGTGGTTATATGCTTTTGCCAGTATTTAGAAAATAAAGGTTTTTTTAAAAGAAGCAAAAGAGACAGGGATGTCTTCTGAAGTGAAAACATTTAAATTTTCTTACAATTCTGACTCATCAGTCAAAGCAGCTAATGAGTTTTTTTTTTAATCTTTGAGCTGGTCAAAAGCTACATGATATATTTTCATATGCTGAACTAAATGTCTGAATGTTTAAACACACATATTTTAAAACCAAAAACTTCCAATTATCCTCAGTAAAAAAAAAATGCACTTCTGTCCCTGCTTTCTGTCATTTGTGCCATTCAGAGACTACCTTAATGCTCTTCTAAATTATTGTGATGCCATCACATTGTGATGCCAAACTTATTCAGAGTTGCCTATTGAGGAATGAAGTTAAACTATGTAACTTCAAACAACCTTTCTGATTGATTGATTATGCACTATTAAGTTGCTGTTGACTCATTGAGACCACAGAGACAGATGTTTTCCAGGATGAACTGTCTCAATCTGGGCTACATGTCTTCCAAAACTCCATCCACTGCTGCTACAATGCAGTCTATCCACTTTGCTACTGATCATTATTTCTTTTCTTTCCCTTACCTTTTCCATCATTACAGACTTTATAAGACAGCACTATGTGTCCCAGATAAGATGATTTAATTATTGAGATAGAAGTATGATTGCTGTATGTTCCATTTTGGACTAGGGTGGGGGTGTAATCAATGATATTCTTTAGAGGTTCTGTAGCACTGATGATGCTACCTAGTTTGGGTAATGAAACATCTGCAAAAAACCAGCCAAGCTCAGAAAGCACCAAGGACACCTCATTTCCATGTCGGTCCAGTGTCTAGAATGGAGTACTGCAGGCTACTTTTGCTGATTGCTGGCTGCCAGTAGTTCAGCAGTTTGATTCTCACAGGCTCAAGGTTGACTCAGCCTTCCATCCTTCCAAGGTTGGTAAAATGAGGACCCAGATTGTTGGGGGCAATAGGCTGACTCTGTAAATTGCTTAGAGAGGGCTATAAAATATTGTTTAGTGGAATATAAGTCCGAATGCTATTGCTATTGCTGTTTCAACCTGAGCTACAAATATTTTTCTTTATTGGCTTTTTACCTCTAAAAGTTAACTGGCTAGTTGAATACTGATTTATTTTAATCTTGTGCTGTTCTCTCTCTCTCTCTGTCTGTCTGTCTCTCTGTCTGTCTGTCTCTCTCTCTCTCTCGCTCTCTCTCTCTCCATCCATCCATCCATCCATCCATCCATCCATCCATCCATCCATCCATCCATCTACTTTGCTGCTTTGAATAAACAAGAGTAAAGAGGGATAAAAAGATAGTATACTACTGAAAGTCCATGTTTCCCCTAAGCTACGGTAATACATATTTATTTCCCAAAAATTCCATTCTTTTTTACCATAATTAAAGATATATTTAATCTTTAAATATTCCATTTAATAAATCTAGTCTTCTAATCTTTTAACTCTTATTCAAAACATTTTTTCAATCCACTGTAATTTTCTTAAAATCAATCACATTTAAATATCTAAAATATGTCTGTATATATAAGCCATTCTAACTCTTTTATATTACTCATATCAAGAAATAAGAGAAGAAAATAGAAGAAAGAGAAAGTACTATGTTATTTGAGGGACTGCTCCCTCTTAAAGTAAAATTCATATCCAAAATCTTTCTATTTATTTAACCATGTTCAAACAAGTATTTCTTTTTTAAATATTCTTTCTGATAAGTCTCATCATCTATTTTCTTAATTTTCACTTTGGCCTTCTTCTTTTGCCCAATATCTTTAGTCAATATATTCTGCTGAATCAAAGAGCCTTTCCATATTTTTGTAGGTGTCATTGTAGATATAAAAAATAAGTCAAGTACAATATCTTTGTAAGAGGCATTTGCTCTTTCATGTTTGTTGATAATCTTTTTCTTTCTTTTTCTCTCTGTATCTCTTATCATTTTTTGTATCTCCAGTTCTAGTGGTGTTCCTGACATCTCTGCAATCCATTTTGACCAGTCTTTTTTCTTATCCTCAAATTTGTCTTGTGGTCTTAAAGTATAAGTTGCCTTTTCCAAAACCAATATTTCTTGTAATATCTTCGAGACCGCCTCCTGCCGCAGATTACCTCCTGACGCAGATTACCTCCCATCGGCCTGTACGCTCCCACAGAGTGGGTCTCCTCAGGGTGCCGTCGGCCAGACAGTGCCGGCTGGTGACCCCAAGGGGGAGGGCCTTCTCGGTGGGAGCTCCCACCCTCTGGAATGAACTACCCCCAGAGATCAGGGTGATCCCTGATCTCCCTTCCTTCCGCCGCACCCTTAAGACATGGTTATTTCAGCTTGCTGGACTGGCCTAGGGGAAATTTTTAGCGGGGGTTTTAAAATATTTTTAAATTACTTAGGCCAATTGTTAATATTTGTATTTTAATTATGTTTTAACTGTAGTATTTGGTATTTTGTAGTTGTTTTATCTGGTTGTTAGCCGCCCTGAGTCCGCAAGGAGAAGGGCAGGATATAAATATAATAAACATAAACAACAACATAAACATAATTTTTCCCATTTGGGTTAAATCATACTTCTTTACTGTGTTAAGTTCCATCTTTGAGTCTCTATCCTCGAACTTGTGTTCAGTTATCTGTATTATTTGCTCCTTCTCTATTGGTATTTCCTGGGATTTTTTGTTGTTGTAAAGTTAAATTGGAGATGAATTGGTTTATGTTTTCAAAGTTATTTTGGATTTCTTTGTGGTTTGAAGTCATTGTTGTTTGAATTAGTTGCAGTCTCTGATTTTCCATAGTGATCAAGAATCAAAGTTTTATTTTCTCTGCAAATAGCTTTAGAGTCACAGTTTAGTAGATATTTATAATCCAAAAAGGTTCAAAAAGGTTTCCTGAAGTTTATAATCCTCTCTTCTACAACCCAAATTGATTTATTTATTTTTTTGTCACAACTGTTCTTTATTGTTATAGCTTTGAAGGTCACAAGCACAGATTAGTTTTTTCCAGATTTTGCCAAGTCCTGTATAAAAGTCATAGCTGTCATAGTCTTTATCGACCACTAGATGTCAGCACCAGTTTATTTTTCAAATTATCAAAATAGAAAATTGCCTTTAAAATGAGAATCTTAACCATTCAACAATTCCAAACTTATCCAAATTTAGGTTTTATATTCATCTCATTTCATTTCTGTATGTTTTGGTCCTCCATAAAAGGTTTAATTCGCTGCTTACATTCCAATCCTCCTTCACATTCAGAGGTTTTTTGCTTCTTGGGAATTTTTGTTTCCAGGAAAGTTAATAAGTAGGATAGAGAAAATCAATGATCTTACCCAAATTCAATCAGCTTAAAATAGTGCTTTTTGACTTCAGTTGTTTGTTGCTTGGACTAGACTGAAGTTAGGCTAGCCTTTCTCCTGTTGGTTTCTGGAAGGTTTCTGGAAGGCTTCTCCTGGACCGATAGGGTCAACCACCATCTCTCCGTTGTCCGCAGGACTTCCTTCCTTCTTTGCCACCTCTTCGGGGCAGCTTCTGGCCCATTTAGGGTCCCCTAACAGGAAGAAATTCAGCGAGAGGGCAGAACCCTGAAATCCCTTGGCAGCTGCACTACTGCGCAAGACCAGAAGTCCGAGAGGGAAACTAATATTGTTGCAATATATTTAAAGTATTCAACTAGGGGAAATAATATGTGTATATGTCTTTGGGTTCTATTTTAATACTGAAAGTCCTTTCTTAATGTTTTCTGATGTCTTGTTTGTTTTGGTTTTTGTTTGTTTCTGTAATAACTCTTTTTGAGTTTTATATTTTATTTGTTTGAATAAAAACACATTATAATATTCATTAATATTAATAATATTTTTTTAGTTTGCCTATGGTTCAGCTGCAATGATGAATGACAAATCCCAAGAAGTTTTCCTTCATCAGCTATTCCCAAATCTTGACCATCACTATAAGGGGATTCTCCAGCTATTGCTGTATTTCCAGTGGACATGGATTGGTATTATAAAAGATGACATCGGAGACAGTTCCATGGAAAACATACTATCCATTTTTGCCCACGAAGGTGTCTGCTTTGATTTTGTAGAAACATTTCCACAAATAGGTTTTTCTTCAGAAATCAACTCAATAGCATTGGAAGGACTGAAGACAATTAGCATTATTATGGAAAGGACAGCCAATGTAGTATTTGTACTGAGTGAAATTCAAAGTATTATGGTTTTAAGAATTATGCTTCAATTCTCCAAATTTCATGAAATACCAATGAAAGTAAAAGTATGGATTTTCACTGCCCAAATGGATTTCACATCACTTCCGCTACTACGGAGCTGGGACATGGATTTCATCCATGGGGCTCTCTCCTTTGCAGTTCACACCAAAGATGTTTTCAGCTTCCCTCAATTCCTTCGAACCAGAAAGCTTCCATCAGAAGAAGATGATGGTTTTTCCAGGGATTTCTGGGAAGAAGCATTTCAATGCTCTTTCTCTCATTCCAATATAGAAACAAAGTCAGGGGGAATATGCACTGGAGAGGAGAAGTTAGAAACCCTTCCTGGATCTGTTTTTGAAATGAGTATGACCAGCCACAGCTATAGCCTCTATAATACTGTTCATGCAGTGGCAGAAAGTTTGCATGGTCTGCATTCCTGGACAACGAACAAAAGGGCAATCAATGAAGATGGAGGAAGAGAGCTTCTCAATCAACAACCATGGAAGGTAACTTCTTATGAATACTAATGCAGGAAACCTTATTTCCTCTTGGGCCCTAGCAATACTGCCCAACTGGACCATAACAGTCCAGACTACTATCACAATTTTCAAGTTTTTATATTTTATATTGATCTCCACACTGATAGACAATATCTTTTAGAAACTTCTTACAAATTAGAAATAAGAAAACAAAACCTTAGAGCACTCCAAAAAATATAGAAATTAGTGTCCACCTTTTCTCCTTTTCATTACAAAAGGAAACAATTCTCCATAAAAGAGTTTTTTTTTCCAATTTCCAGCTTTTACAGGCAGTCCTGAATGAAAAATGATCATTATTAGAACCAGTCACCAAGACATCCAAGAGAATCAGGAAGAGCTTCCCCATTCATTCAGGTTCAAACAAAACTTATAGATTAGACTACAGTGACTAAAGCCAAATCTCTTCAACAACCACATTTTAACTTTAAAATATAATGACGGATTTAGGATTTCAGCTGTGACTTGACTGGAGGCATCTTTCATTAGTTCTAGTCCTGACTTAGGTACAAAACCAGTCTCTTTTGCCATGCAAAAAACCAGGCAATGAAAGACATAGAGCAGGGGTGTCAAACTGCTGGCCCATGGGCTGGATGCATCATGCGGAAGCCGCACCCACCCCATCTCCAGCAATGGGAAAAAGTCATGAAATGTTGCAACACATTACATGATGTGGCGAGTCTGACACCCCTGACCATAGACGACATCGTCGTCTTCTTCTTCTTCTTCTTCTTCTTCTTCTTCTTCTTCTTCTTCTTCTTCTTCTTCTTCTTCTTCTTCTTCTTCTTCTTCTTCTTCTTCTTCTTCTTCTTCTTCTTCTTCTTCTTCTTCTTCTTCTTCTTCTTCTTCTTCTTCTTCTTCTTCTTTTTCTTCTTCTTCTTCTTCTTCTTCTTCTTCTTCTTCTTCTTCTT